TTGCCCAAGGTCGTATATAAATTCATTGATTTAGAGCCATAGAGTCCAACCTCCCATTTTACAGAGGAGGAAACCATGGCACATAGAGACTGTAACTTGTTCCAAGTCTCTGGGATACCGCTCTTAAACAGCTCCGACTCCGAGACGGGCGGTTTTTCTTTTCTGTCTCGCTGAAAGAGGGACCCTAAAGTCTGAAATCCACGTCCTGATCTCTCGAAAACAGGGACACCCTCCTCCTTCCCCTCCCCTTCCGGACTGTGTGCAGCCTCTGGGCTCCTAAACCCTGCGAGACGCGGAGGGCGGGGTAGGAGGGGAGGGGAGTTCGCAGTAAAAACGACGATTACTGTCCCCAGCCCTGAGCCCAAAGTGGCAATAACCTTGACATTCCGGAAGATGTCGAAATTCTCAGCTCTTCGTCCTCTCGCTGCCTCGGCCGCCTCATTAGCGCCAGCAGTTTTGACAGATATAAGTGTTAACAAATAACATCTCCGAGTATCTAAAAGAGATGACGAATGCAGAGCGCTGGAAAAACTTTAACTTTTTTTATTTTATTAAGTTATGATAACTCATAACAAAGTGTTAGTATAAAGAAGTTTTTATCAGGGATAGGGGCTGGGGCGGTGATTTTCTTGGTGAAGGAATCTCCTAAGACAACCCCTGAACTAACGCAGGTCGGTACCTTCTTGTAGACTCGGAGTCTTCGTGAGCTGCTAAAGCCCCTGAAGTCTTAGGAGCTGCCTAAAGTAAAGTCAAATAGCTTGTCTAGGATCACAGAGTCAGCCTGCGTCAGAGTCAGGGCTTCCAGACTGATTCTCTAACTACTATTCAGTACTGCCTCTAAAGTTAGTATTATTAATCATTAGCATATAGAGACTGTGTGTACGTTTATATACATGTATGTATGGATTTGTATTTGCGTGTTGGGGTCTGGGTGTGGGGCTTGTGATTTAATTTCATTCAAAGGAAACTCTCTACCAGTATATGGTCTTAAAAAGTTGTCAGGGACTATGAGAGGTTAATGATTTGTCCAGGATTAAGCCAGTGTCTGTGTCTGTCTCCTTCTCCGTCTCTGCCTCTCTTTGTCTCTCCTCTCTTCTTCTTCCTACTTATCAATACACCTATCAATCATCTATTGTGAATTTGGGCACGCCATTTAATCTCTCTGGGCCCCCTTAATTCCTCATCTGTAAATTGAGGAGTTGGACTAGATGACCTTTAAGGTCCCTCCTGGCTCTAAAAATGTGATCCCTTGATACATTCTGTAGAGAAAGACAGCGTGCTTAATTGCTAGAGATCGATCCTTGCAGTCACAGAATCACAGAATTTGAGGCTTGGGAGGAACCTCAGGAAATGCTTAAACCTAGAGGAACCCTGTGCGTAAAGGAAGAGTGATTATCCAGCCTCTAACTAAAGATCTACAAGGAGGAGGAACCCACCGCCTCAGAAATAAACTGTGACCCCGAGAAAATCACTTAAGCTTTCATTAAGTATCCCCTGCAAACTCCCTAAGAATGGAAGTTAGCTGTGTGACCCTGGGCAAGTCACTTAACCCCTATTGCCTAGCCAAAAAAAAAGTTATCGTTGTCTATCTGCACCAGTAAAAGGAGTTTTCCGCCAAGAGTTCCCTTACCCTCAAAAAATGCCAGAATTGGGCTGAAAGAAAAAAAAATTGTTTCCTTCTTATTCAATGGCACACCGAAATCCAATTTTCGTAACATTTTTTAGAATCTATTCAGTTGTTTGTCGTCTCAGAAATTGAAGGATGGAAAAAAGGGAATGAATGTTAATACTTTTTCCCACCATTACTTCTACCCACTCTCTCAAGCACAGCTTTTATCAGCCCGCACCGAGGCCTCCCACAAGGGATTCCCGGAAACAACCAATGACCCCGGAGTTCTGTCCTCTGTGGTCACATTTGGAGTTGCCTAAGGCGGTAGCGAGCACCCTAAGGCTGGTTGCCCCTTTCCTGCCTTAAGTCTCGTGGCTGGGTTGGCTTCGAACTCTTAACCAGAGCAGAGACTGGACTGGGTGGGCGTGGGGGCGGGGCAGAGATGAGGGCGGGGGGGGGGTGGGGGGGAGTAGCTGAACTGTATATGGCATCTGGCTTCTTTGGCTGGTTTAGCTCCAGCAAGAGATAAGAGTTCTCTGTGAGGAGAGGTCCCGAAAAAGCTCCACTCTGCTGTAGTGCCTTGAAGAGTCAAATGACTTTTATTTCTAGGTTCCAATACTAGATCATGCCCTCTGTAGTCGCTAGACCTTGGGCAAGTCCTCTGATCTCTTGGTTCCTCAGTTTGCTCATGTCTAAAATGAGCGTATGTTTTGGACTATACACCTCGAGTCCTTTTTTTTTTTTTAATCCTTATCATCCGTGCAGGAACGGGAGAGAGAGACAGAGAGAGACAGAGACAAAGAGAGAGACAGAGAGATAGAGAGAGAGAGAGACAGAGAGAGACAGAGAGAGAGAGACACAGAGACAGAGGCAGACAGACAGACATAGAGAGACAGAGAGGGGAGACAGAGAGGGGGAGACAGATCCAGACACAGAGACTGAGAGAAAGAGACACACAGAGAGAGAGAGAGAGAGAGAGAGAGAGAGAGAGAGAGAGAGAGAGAGAGAGAGAGAGAGGCCTCTGGAGCCTCTGGGCCTGGTTCAAGTCTAGCCTCTGATGATTGTTACTTGTGTAAATGCAAAAAATTGGACTTCATTTTCCTCAACTGTTAAACGAGAAGGCTGGCAGAGAGCTCGCTTGGGTATGTTCTGGCGGGGGATTCCTTTAGCTTAGGCTTTGTACTGGATAGCTCTGAGATTCCTTCCAGCTCTAGGGCCACTATCAAAAGCTACATGATACCAAAATAAGGTTCTTAAAGTGGGGTGTAAATGAATTTTTGTTTGCTTTTGTTTTTACCACTTTAAGTCACAAGGGGATGAACCAAAGGCACGTTTAGCCGCAGATGACTGCATAGACACTCAGAAAACCTCCGAAGGGACTAAAAAGCTTAAGACCCAGCGCAGTACAAAAAGAAACAATTACCCGAATAATTCCACTTCTTTCGATCAACTTTTCCCAATCACTTTCATCTTTTAAAATGTCCATATAATCTAGATGAAAGTGTTTCGAGCGAAATATCCAGGAAATGGTCCCTTTGGTAGGCACTGCAGCCTTTTCACGCCGGTGAGGCCGTGAGGCTCCACTTCCACGTTCTTTTGTGAGGGGCGCCCTTGGGTGAGCGTCACTCACACCCGAATCATCTCCTCTGCCTAGGACCCAGATTCGGAGATTTCTAAAGAAATCTTACCCTCTTGACTCCGAGCCACTTTTAAGTAGCAATCTTCCATTTAGGGGAGCTGAAAGTGTCCCTGTCCCTTCCTACCCCATCTGCTCACCTAAGGGAAGGGCAAAGCCCAGATTTGTGTTTGAAACCTTCCAATCAAATTAAAGCTCTCTGAGTTAGTTAAGGGGTGAGGGAAGGGAGCCCCGAAGCACTGCGAGGACTTGATGTTCGTAAAGGGTCCCTTAGCAGGAGCTCTTGCTCCAGGGAAGAAAAATCCCTCGGGAAGGAGAAGCTACCAGGCTAGAGCCGGTAAAAACCTGGGGTTGCGGGGGTGGGGGGAGCGGGGAATGCGGTTGCTGCCTTCCCCAGTGTCCTCCTATGACTGAACAGTTTGTGCTGGCTCTCAGAATCTGGGGGTCAGAGTGGGCCTCTGCTAAGAAGTGACCAAACTATGAAGAAGAGAAATTGATGATTACACCTTCCAGGAATTTGTTAAGGCTACAGCTTCCTGCACCACCCCTCCCTCACCCTATGTCTACCCCCCAGTCAAAGCTGTCACATTCCTTTCATGTAGAATGTCTCCATGGACTGTCTTCCTTTAAATCATCAGCTCAGTGATTATGAGCTTGACTTCGCGTGCTGGGGGGAAGCGGGCGGGGAGCATCATAGCCCATCGCCAGAAGTGCTGGCTCTCTCCCTTGACTTCCTGGGCAATATTGGGCGAATTACTTCGTCTTTCCGGGCCCCAATTTGCTCATTTGTCAAATAAAAAAGAAAGTATTGGCACTACCTACCTCACTGGCTTATTGAGGGTGAAGTCCTTTGAAAACTTGGAACTCGTGCTGTAGCTATAGCTATCTAAAGGGGCGGCTTGGGGCTTAATAGGTGGTCTGGCCTCCAAATCGATAGGACGGGTTCAAATCCCACCTCTGGAATCTGTTGGCTGTGTGACTCTCATAGCAAGGACCTACCCTCTCAGTGCCCCCACACAGTTCTTGAGACTCAAAGTTGCGGGGGTCCAATCTCCGTTAGTAGAGGGAGTTCCCCATACTAGTGGAATTACAGGGCTAAACTTTTTAAAAACAATCTATCTAGGGCTATGATTCCATCAAATTAGCAAAGTCCTTGGTATAGATACAGAAACATCCTCTATCTATCTGTGGAGATGGGCAACTCATATAGAAATTAGAATCCAATCAGATTTGGAGCTGTAAAGAACCTTCGAAGTCATCGAGGTCAGCCTTCTCCAGGTACAGAGAAATCAAGTGACTTGGCCATAGTCACACAGGTACTAAATCTCAGAGGCCAGGTCTTCCTGATTCCAAGTCCAGTATCCCCATCTCTCACTTCCACCGCACCGAAAGACCAAAGGACTTACCTAGGGCATACAGCTTGTTCTTGTTAAAAGCAGGACTGGAACTCGTGTTCTAGACTTCGAGGTTGCTTCCGCCCTCTACGCCACGCTTTGCTGCTGTTCAGTCGTTTTTTTTTTTTTCAGTCGTGTCTCACTCTTTACGGCCCCCTTTGGGGTTTCTTGGCAAAGATACTGGAGTATTTTGTCATTTCTTTCTCCAGCTCATTTTACAATTGAGGAAACTGAGGCAGACAGGGTTAAGTGACTTGACCATGATCACACAGCCATTAAGCCTCTAACACCGGATTTAAACTCAGGTCTTCCTGACTCCAGGCACAGTGGTCTATCCACTGTGCCACCTAGCTGTCTACACCACGCTGCTTCTGGCAAATTATTCTTATTAGCTGTTAAATGAGCAGGGAGGCGGGGTTAGACTGGCGGCCGTCTAAGCGCAGATGTGTCTTTAACATCCCCATGATACTATTCATAATACTCATTTCTCAGAACACTTACCTATGTCGATGAGAGGCGCCGTGGCATAGGGATTAGACAGATTGCTCTGGCTTCAGGTTGTGTGATCCTGGGAGAGTCACTTAACTTCAAAATACTCCCAGGCAACTCTCTAAACGCTTCAGAGAAGGTGCCGCCCTTCCTCAAACCGGAATTCCCTCTACCAATCAAATGAGTCCCTAACCTTGGACATCTCTCTGTCTCTCCGTTCTGCTCTCTGTTTCTGTCTCTGTCTCTCTGTGTGTCTCTGTCTCTCTCTCTGTGTCTCTGTGTCAGTGTCTGTCTCTCTCTCCCTCTTCCTCGTGGGGGCAAGTGGATAAAACATCATGGATCCATAGAAATAGCGTGAATGCCTGGAAGGATGAATGGATACAGGCATGGATGCCCTCGTGATGTGGGGACTGAAATCCTCAGACACCTGTGTCTCAGGCTCCAGACACTTCAGGCTTCGCGGTTTCGGAAGATATCGTTTGTATTCTTAAGCTGCCTCCAGGGTGATTTGGAGATTTTATGTCTTTCCGTGGGTTTCTTTACAAGAGATGAAATGTAAGAGGTGTGAAGGAAGGGTGGCGATTACCTCCCGACCTGGCTGCTTTGCCTTACGTTTCAGTCCGGCTCGAGTCCTCAACTGAGCGTTCAGAGGCAGAATATTTACATTCTCAGTATGTGATCACTGAGTTGGGTTTTGAGTCAGTCTGGAGACACCCGTAGGCAGGGTCAGATCACGCCAAAGGAAGCGGATTATGCAGTAACTCTAGAGAAGAGAATAGCAGTCATTCACATCAAAGGAGGGCCATTCCCTGAAAGGTTCTGGTCTAAGCCAGGACTTGCGAGAAGCTGCAACGAGTAGGCCCCTCTGACCGCTGGGAGCACAGGTGTGTACCGGCCAGGCAAGAGATGGCAATGGGCCCCTTTGTGACTCCCCTCTGGACTGGCTGAGGTCTGGGACCCCGCTTTTCTTCCAGCCTGATCAGAGCCACCCCGAGGGACAGCTGGACGCCGGCTCAAGTTGCCGGCCCCTAGTCCCAGGCCTGAGGCAAAGGCGCTGTCGCGGGGGTGGCCGGCTCCTCTATAAGCAGCCTAGACTTCTCCAGAAAGTTTATTTTGCCAGGTGTTCCCCTAACGAAAATCTAGCCCCAGGCCCCGAGAGGTTCGTCCGGCATCCCTGTGCATCAAAAAGACTTGGGGTTTTTTTGCAGGTTGCTTTGACTTCGGAGCTGTGACTCTGGTTTTTACTTCAGTACATCCAAACTTTATTTTGGCACTTTGCTCAGACAAGAAAAAAAGGAAGAAAAAAGAGAGGACCCCCCCCCCCCAGGGTTAGTTGTAACTTCCTAGAGCCCCTGAGATTCGACTTCCTTTTTTTTTTTTCTTCCCGATTCTCGGGCCAATCCAACTTCTTCCCTTCCCCTAAAGCACCCAAGGGAAAGCTGTCCAGGGCGCTGGCAAGACCTTGGTGCCCCATCGCCTGCCACCCTGTGCTGGACAGGGCTGCTTGGGAGCTTCTCATACAGAGGGTAGTGGACCGGTCTGGAAAGCCCAACTGTGAAGCTGAGATCCCTTTAACGGGCCCAGGATCATCAGTATTTCCAAGGGCTGGGCTCCTTTCCTCCCCTTCTCTTTCCCTTTCCCCCGGCCCCCAACATGGGGTGAGAAAGTGAGCGGCTTCTGAGAGCTTGGGGCTCTGGCAAACCCATCTTCCTCCTCCTCCTCCTCCTCCTCCTCCCTCCACCCTCCAGGTCTCCTCCTTCCCAGCCCCTATCGGCTGAATCAGGAAGCCGGTGACGTAGGCAAGCGCTGACTGGCTGAAGACCGATAGGATCGCAGCCTCGGGCAAATTAAGGTGCAGAAGAGAGTGCGCCCCGTTGCAGTGGCCACCCCCTCCGGGCTTGCCCCGACACCGCTGCGGACTCGCTCTATAGCCTATTCAGGAGCATCTAAACTCGGCCAAGCAGCAGGTCTCGGCAACTACGGGCGATCTGTCTTTGCCCCAGGCCAGAAGGCACTAAGGAACAGGGGCATGCACTAAAATCCCTGGTATTTGCGCCCCGGGCGTTTTTCTTCTGTTAGGGGAGCTCCCAGGCTCCTCCAGATCACTTTGGGTCCCCCCCTCCACTTTCCTCCCTCTAACCTGCTCCCAATAGCCGAACTGATCCTCATTTCTCACCCAGTGTGGTCTTAGATCTGCTTAACTGACCTTCAATGCTCCTGAGCTTTCGTAGGATTTTGAGGGGCAGAGCAGGAAGGGAAGAGAGCAGAGCGTTGGGGCTTCAGGGAGCTTGGGTCCAGGGCGATTTCTGGTGAGAGTGGCTTCTGCTCTTCGCTTGTCTAGAAACTTTCCCTTATCTCCCCTTCCTTTGTTCCCCACTGATCTGGGGGAAAGCTGGGAGTCAGCCCCGTAGCCTTCCTGCCTGGCTAGGACCGCCGGGTGACAGCATGGAGTACACGGCGTCGCCGAAGCCACAGCTCTCGTCGCGGGCCAACGCTTTCTCCATCGCGGCTCTCATGTCCAGCGGAGGCGGCTCCAAGGAGAAGGAGCCTTCTGAAAACACCATCAAACCCTTGGGTGAGTGAACGAGAAAATAGTCCCCATGGCCAGGAGACTGGGACTGTCTCTGCATAACCCCTTGCGCGCGCCCCCCCCACTTCTGTCTGCGCCCCACGGGGTTCGCTTCGTATGTATCCCTGAGCCTGCTTGTCTTCCAGTCCATCTCTGGCACCGTAGTCCTAAGGAGTCTGGTGTGCCTGCTTGCTCTAGGCTAGTTGGAAGAAGGCAAAGTAAGGGGCAAGGGCAAAGAGGAGCTCTAGGGAAAAGCGGCCTCCCAAGCCAGCCGCAGCTCGGCAGAAATACAGAGAACCAGGAGGGACAGTTCTCAACAACGCCAAGCAGCAGCAACTAGGGGTTCCCTGCTCTGGGCTCCACGCCCTAGGTCTGGTCAGTTTGCAAATGCAAGAGGAATTCTCTCTTCTTTGATTCTCACCGCCAGGAACTTAACTTTTACTAAAATTGAAGCTGTCAGAGCGGCCGCTCTTCTCTCCCCCTCCTCTCCGCATTCGGTCCCCAAGTAGATGACTAAAAAACCTCCAGAATTGTGAGAGAGATTTCCTGGGTCCATTATGTCCCTGGGCAGTGCTAGAACAGGCTGGGAGAAACCTAGGAGATCTAGGACTCCTCTTCTTGGAAGTGGGCTTCAAACCAAGCGAGCGACATTTCTCAGGAGAGTCATTTAGCTGTTTGCAACCCCCCGGCACAGAACAGAGTAGTCTAGGTTTGGACTTAAAAACAAATCAAAACAAAACAAAACAAAACAAAACAAAACAAAACAAAACGACTACTGGCTTTCCCCTCTTGCTTTACAAGACTGTTCCCCAGCTGCCCCTGCCTGATCTCGGCTCGGCACAGAAGCTTTCCTCTTATCAGGCGGTCATCGCCTTAGAACTGCGCTCATTTTCCGTCGGGCTTGGTGAAAACATTAACCAGTAACCATTTTCGAAATTCCTCCCCTTTTAGTTACAGTGTTTATTTAGAAATCTTGGCCATTTATAGCAAACCTCAGGCCCACCGTGGCAAAGAATGTAGTTTCTTCTTTCACATGTGAGTGCGAGAAACAGTTAGCGGGGGGGGGGGGGGGGGGGGCCGGCAAGGCAGGGTCAAACTGCTGGAGGGTCTAGGTGTAGGAGAAGAGCACCCTTAGAAAAAAGTGTTAACGTTCTGGCCTGAAATAATTTTAATATTAGGTCAGATTCAACAGCTGGAGGACAGGCAGAAGCAATTGACAGATGGATGTAAAAACAAATTTCCTTCTTTCTTTCTTTCCTTCCTTCCTTCCTTCCTTCCTTCCCTCTTTATCTTCCTGTTTTTCCTTTTGGTTCTCTTTCTTTCGTTTCCCAAGCATCTCAGTTTAGTAGAAAGGAGTGAGAGAAACACACACACACACACACACACACACACACACACAAAGAGAGAGAGAGAGAGAGAGAGAGAGAGAGAGAGAGAGAGAGAGAGAGAGAGAGAGAATGAGTTCTATCCTTAATAGTTGGGGACCTGGCTGCCTGGTTCCAGAATTTCTGCTGTAGGTTGCTGTAGCTCCCCGAATTCATTTAGGTTCCATCTTCTGTCCTAGTCAACCATTTTGTCACCTCTCTTCTGCTCCCTCTGATTCCTCTTTGAGAAACTTCCTTGGAGTTTCCCAAATCTATCAGCAGAAAAAAATAAAAATGTGGATTGGGGGGAGGGAGTTGGAAACCACTGATACCATTTTCAAATGTCTTGCAACGCTGGCCATCTACTGTGCTTCTACTGTGTTTAGTTTCAGGAGAGTCCCTGGGAGGTCTTTTTATTTTCCAATGGTCCTCTCTTATTTTTGATAGGTGTGCCCCAAAGAGAGACCCTGCTGTTCTTCAGTGCTGTTGTAGATTGCCTGCGGCTGGCAGGTTCTCTGCTTGTCCCATCAGTTTCAACTTTGGTTCATTTTTTTTTCCCCTTCTGAGACATATCAGCTCATAGATTAGGAGGTATTCTCTCTCTCTCTCCCCCCTTCTTTTCTCCTTTACTGAATTAAGAAGTTACAGAAAGGAGCTACAAACAGAAAAAGAAGAGAAAAGAAAGAAAAAGAGGGAGAGAAAGATGAAGGAAAAAATCACATACACAGAGAGTGCAAAATGATGATTCACAGTCAGGAATAGAGGTCACTAAACCAGAGCTTTGGAATAAGGATCCCAAGAGAGAATTACTAAAATCCCCCAAGTGCCTTTAAACTGGCTATTTACATAGCTCACTGATCTGTTGATAGATACCCAAGGACTAAGCAGTCAGAAGTTTGTAAGAACCCCAAAACAGGCGTGAGAGAGGGGCCTCCCACTACAGAGAAAGCAGCTCTTTGGGGATCAAGGCTGCAACTGACTTCTTCCCAAAGCCTCAGGTTATGAAACGTTGCTGGATTTGTGGTGTGTTTCTGGCAGTTTCCAGTCTCTTGTAGGTAAAAATATTCTGCCCCTGAATAAGGTCTGCCCTTGGGTTCAGGCCTCCCCCAGGTAGTTGGTCAGTGCAGCCCACCATCCCACTATACTAGGGAGCTGGGTTGGGTGATCACTCTGGGAGATCTGTCACCCATCCCCTAGGGCTGAAGGGGTAGTTTTGTTGAGGACTGAGGAAGAATCCTGCCCTTTCCCCTCCTTTTAAAAGTTAGAGTTTAAAAAAAACTCTCCCTCACCCCCAACACATATTTTTCTGCCTTCTTTGGATTTAAAATATTTTTAGGGGTTCTGTCTTTAAATATTATCTAAGAGAAGAATCAGGGTTGTCTAGACTTTCTAACACAATAAATAGGTGATAATCATAGAATTTCCCACCCAGGCTGGTTGTGAGGTGGTGCAGTGGGCAGAAAGTATTGTACCTGATATCAGGAAGCCCTCAGTTCAAACCTGGCCTCATACACTCGCTATATTATTCTGGGCAAGTCACTTAACCTGTCTGTTTGCCTTGGTTTCCCTATCCCCATCATAAAATGAAGATAACAATAGCACCAATCTTCCCGGGTTTTTGTAAGGATAAAATGAGATATTTTTAAAAGCACTTTGCAAACACTAGAGCAGTGCATAAATGTTAGCTATCATTATAGCATGATTATTACCATATTTAATATATCACAGGATGATGACATATGATCCTCTTCTATAGTTTATACAGTCTGATAAAATATAACGTTGCTGATGTACGTTAGTAGAAGGTTTCACATTGGGAGTACCGTATATCGATTAAATTACAGGTGCAGCTCCTAAACCCCACAATTACAGATTATAGATTTATATACTGTTAAAATACATCTTCTCAGGTTTATTATAAATATTGTAAATAGGACTATACCGACATCATAAATACATCATAAATATATTTATACAGATACATACATATCATGAATAATGACTAGCTTTTATACAGTCCTTTAAGGAATGCAAAGCATTGTACGCTATCTCAGTTTGACTGTTGCAATATCATACATATATTTGCAATATAGATAGAACATATATTAATATAAGACACAGATATAAGCAAATGCACATTCTATTGATGAAGCAAATATCTTTATTTGTAAGTACAGACATATCTTAAAATCTGTTTCTGGTGCCGCCTGTCTCTGCATTGACCCAGTAGGCGGGCCTTGGTGGGGAGCTGTTTCGAGATTGCTTCACATTGCAAGCTCAAGTAGTTGCTTTTTTAAGGAGCGGAAGATAATGGTGACAATTAGGCAGGTCCCCCTGTGTTCTGTCAAAGTGACTGGCGCATTTGAGGGCCCTCCCTGTCAGCTCATGCAAGGCCCCTTCCAGCCTGGCCCTTATCCTGGGCGGGCGGGAGCCGAGGGAAAGAACGGTCTGCCCGTCCCCCACCCTCAGCCCACTGTGCACCCAGGATTCTGCAGTGTTAAGCTCCACCAGCCCCACTCTTTAGGCCCAGCCCGTATCGTCTTACTTCACCAGCCATCCTCAAGGCTGTGTGGGCTGAAACGTCTGTATGGACGCGGCCCTGGGAGAAGACGGGGTCCCTTTCGGGATGCAGGAGGTTTAGGGACCTCCTTTCGTTTCTAGCTGTTAGGGGATGCTGGCGTGAGGGAAGACCAAGGGAAGGCAAGCCTGAGAGTAGGAGTAAAGAGGCCTAAGGGCGGAGACGGGAGCGGGGGCGGGGACTGGTCGCGGAGCCCCTAATCTCTCTCCGGACCCCGCAAGACTTAAAAGTCTAGACTGGAGATGGTCTGAAAAACTGCCGTAAACACTTGCTGTCGGTTTCCCTCGGCCCCTACCCGGTCTTCCACCACTCGTGTCCTGTGTCCCAGACGGGTTTCCTAAGGGTAGACCGCAGCGCCCGGGAGAGCGAGCTCCGTGGGTTTTTGCGCAGAGCCCGCGTCTGCCCAACAGGAGGTCTGAGGCCGCTGCGCTCTCTGCCCTTGGCCTCGGCGTTTCTCAGACTGCGGGCCGGCTCTTCTGGCCTCCACCGCCCTACGGCCGAAGCCGTGCTCCCGATCTGTCCCGGGCCCGCAGCCTTCCCGAGTTTACCCACTTCTATTTGCACTAGAACAATTCGTGGAGAAGACTTCCTGCGCCCAACCCCTCGGCGACCTCCCAGGGCTCGACTCCCACGGCGACTTTGGCGGCAGCCTTGGAGGCGGCGGCGGCAGCCCTTCCTCTCTGTGCACGGAGCCCCTCATCCCCACCACCCCCATCGTCCCCAGCGAGGAAATGGCCAAGATCGCCTGCAGTCTGGAGACCAAGGAGCTCTGGGATAAATTTCATGAGCTGGGCACCGAGATGATCATCACCAAGTCGGGCAGGTAGCCGAGGCTCGGGGGATTCGGGGAACATGGGCCAGGGGGAGGGGGGAAAGCGGAGACTGAATGAGCAGCCCCACCGTGAGAGGGCAGGAACGGAAAGTAACTTCAGAGGGTCACAGGAAGAGACCCCAGGGGCCAGCCAGTGCAATCCCCTCATTTACAGATCGGGAAACTAAGGCCCAGACACTTGCTTTAAGTCACTTATCCTAGGATCTTAGATAAAGAGATGGAAGGCCCCTCAGAGTTCAGTTCTCTTATTTTGCAGAGGAGGAAACTGAGGTGCAGAGAGGTCGTGACTTGCTCAAGGTCACACTAGTAGACAAAATCTTTGCTGCAAAGCAAAAAGATCTCCAGTCGCCTAAACATTGCTTTGGAAAAGATGTAAACCGGCACTGGACGTAGTTTCTCTTCTTTAGAGGCTGGAGGGAGAGGAGAAAGTTAGGAATCCCAGATCGCTCCAGGATCTTCTCGGGGGTGGTAGGTACTGGGGGATGCCCACACCACTCCTGGGGCAACAATCCTGCGTCCTAGGACACGAACTGGAGGCCCAGCGATTTGCTGGCCCCTGGCATTTCGATCTAAGGGTACATTGGGGACTCAGCGCAGAAAAGGAAGGGCTCCGGGGAAAGCCTGGTTTACCAGAGGGGAGGGCAGGGAGCAGGGAGCTGGGAAGAAGCTCGAAATCCAGGGAGACCCCAGGCTGGGAGCAAGCCCGGGCGGCCTTAAAAAAACAGACTCTGGGCAGAGGGCAGGCAGAGCTGGCTTGAGACGGGGATTTATCCGGTTGATCACGGTCGCCGCCAGACTGGAATTTCCTCAGTCGGAATGGCCCAGACCCCTTGGGAACTGGGAGCTCAGGGCTTCCCTGTTTATCCTTCCTAGTTTGCAGACAACCCCCCGGACTTTAAAAAAAAAGTAAGGTTAAAAAAAATTAAGGCAATGCTGGGGGCAGGGGCGGGCTGGGGGAGGGGAACCTGCAGAGAAGGTTGTCGATATAATATGGAGCCTCGATTTAGAACTAGAAGGAACCTCCAAGGCCATCCAGCACAACCCCCGCTTTTACCAAGGACGATACTGTGGCCCCGAGAGGTAAGTGACTGGTCCAGGTTCCTACACGCAGAGCGAGATTCCAACCATCATGCTTTTGTTCCAAATCTAAAGAGCTCTTGCCACTGAATTAGACTTGGAAAGGATCTCTAAAAGCATCAGGCACAAGGGTTCTTAATATTTCAGGGGTCCGTGAACTTGGCCGGGGAAAAATACATCTTTATTTTCATTAACCTTTGGTTTCTTTTGTCATCTTGTAAATTTTATTTTTTGCATTAAAAAAACCAAAACACATTATTCTGAGAAAGGCTCCATAAGTTTCACCAGACCACCAAAGGGATCTCTGACGCAAAAAAAGGATTAAGAATCTTTGATCGAATCCAAGTCCCTTTTTTACAGAGAAGGAAACCAAGGCAGGTTTTCAATCAGGTACACAGGTCTGCAAGCTTTCATTAAGAGCCCATCAAGTGCTAGGCGCTGTGCTACACTCTAGTCTAGGGGGAGCAATGTGGCGAAGCTGGTAGAGCTAGTAATAAGCAGAAGCCAGACTCGAACCCAGATTCTGATTCCCTGCACCCTGGTTCAAATCTTTTTTTTTTTTAAAATCCATATGAGGAAGAACAGAGCAGCTGCTCATGTTCCGGGTGATCGAATTAGGCAAAGTGTGTTCTGTGAGTTGGCTTGAGGAAAGATGTAGAGGGATTTAGAAAGTACAGATTTCCAGGCACTGCTGAAAGCACTTATCGGACCCGAAGGAAGACCAGCCGCTTCCATAGGTTTCCCAAGGATCCCCAAGCACCAACGCCATCGCCCTCCCTTCCATCTAAGGACCAGCCAGTTAGAAGCAGACTGCCTTCTATCGGCCTTCCCATCACTCCCAGGCCAAGTGTACAGGAAAGAAAGGGAGATTTTTTTGCCGGGGGTAGGTGGGGGTAAGTGCCTTGCCCTGGGTGGGGCACTGCTAGAGTAGCCCAGGGCCAGAGCTATGGGTCGGTGGATTTTGTTCGCAAACCTCCCAGCCAAGGGTTGGAAACAGCTGAAGTCCTTATTCTGAAAAAACCTGTGTCTGACCCCTAATGGGCAGCCCAAGTTCGTTGTAAAAGGGCTTTCCTCCCGCCTTGGTCACAAATGCTTACTTCAGTGGGTGCCCCTAAAAAATGTCAACATCAAAGCATTCTGGGAAACGTGTGCTGGTACTCGGACACTATCAGTGCTCTGAGCCCCGGGAGCTCAGGGGGCGTGGTGTGAGGCGATTTTAACGAGAGAATATTTGTCAGGAGAAGGAAGGAGACATTTAGTAGGTAGAGAGCAAGCCCTGGTAGTCCCGAATTCAAGTCTTACCTCTGACGCATACTGACTGAGAAACCTGGAGAAAGTCAATTAAGCCTCTCGGCTCCCAAAGGCAATTACCCGAGCCTGTAAATTACAGATTTACCATTACAGATGAGGTATCCACCAGCGCTAGCAAAGAGAGTTTCCAAGCTTGGAGTTCCCCCACCTCGATGAAATAAAAGACCCCAAGCAAAACAAATCAAGGACGTTTGTAGAGCACAAACTATTGGAGGAGTATTTGGGAAAGGATGTGTTCTGCTTTTGTTGTAAATAGATACAGGGTTCAAGAGACACCCACTTTGAATGAAACCCTGGCAACGATTAGCTGGAAAGTTGCTTAACCTCGGTCAGTCTCAGTTTTCTTATCCGTAAAGTGAGGATAATAGCACCTGTGGCACTTACCTTACCTGCTGTAAGGATCAAGTGGGATAAAAGGTTTAAAGCGCTCTGTAAAGGTCAGCTATTATTACAACAAATTCGGCCCTGGGGAAAGAGACAGAATTCAATCCCAACCGAGAAATTCAGCCCGGATGGAAATCGTAGGGCCATCTCAGAGGACATTGACCTTCCAGGTGGGCAGGAATGCTCTAGGACAGGGAATAAGCTGAAATAAACCTGTCAGAACCCTTTGGATCATTTTCTTCACCATCCGGGCTTGTAATTAAGAAATCTGTTAATTAATCACTCCCCCCATTTCAGCCCAAGTTTGTGTGTATCTCTGTGTGACCGATCCTTTCTCTCCTCCGATTTAAGGCGAATGTTTCCTACCATTCGGGTGTCGTTTTCCGGGGTGGATCCTGAAGCCAAATACATTGTTCTGATGGATATCGTTCCTGTGGACAACAAGAGATACAGATATGCCTACCACCGCTCGTCCTGGCTGGTGGCTGGCAAGGCCGACCCTCCCCTTCCCGCAAGGTTTGTCCTCCTTGATGCCGGTTTTCTCATTCGAGAAATATTTGCTTATAATCTCCCCCCACCCTTAGCTATCTGCAGAATTCCTCTGGGCTGCCCAGAGAGTTCTGCATGGGGATTTAAAGTAGTCTGTTTTTAAACCTGCCGCTGCTGATTCTGGGAGGAAAGCACCCAGGCAAACCGGGAGGGCTGACTCTGCTAAAGACCGGAGTTAATCCTGGGTAAGAATATTTAGATAGAAAGCAGCACCCTTCCTTTGGACCCTTGGTCTAATCCTCTCCCTCCCCCCCCAACCCCCTGTATCTTCTGGAATTTGCAACATTAAAATTCACAAGAGATCAGGGGCCTCTGAAGACGGAAAAGATGTTATTACTCAATTGGTATTTAATTGGCTAATTACAATAAATATTTGTTGCCAGTTTGGTTAGATCATATTATAAAGAAATCATTCTATGCCAATCATTTTCTCATCTTAAGGGATTAGATTTATTACTATCATTTTAAACAACCAATAACCAATAAATTTTTATTAAGCATTACTATATGCCAGGCAAGGGCAGCTAGGTGTCAAAGTGGATAGAGTCCCCGGTCTGAAGTCAAGAAGACTCATCTTCCTGAGTTCAAATCTGACCTCAGACACTAGCTCTGTGACCCTGGACAAGTCACTTAACCTTATTTGGCTCAGTTTCCTTATCCATAAAATGATCTGGAGAAGGAAATGGCAAACCACACCAGTATCTTTACCAAGAAAACCCCAAATGGGGAGACAAAAAGTCAGCAGCGACTGAACAAAACAGGTACCAGGCACTGCGCTAATCATTATTATAATTATCATCATTATTACCATTATTACCTTCATGATCATCTACTAAGTCATAGAGAAGTGGTGGTCTCCATGTCTGTGTGAGTGTGTGTATGTGTGTGTGTGTGTGGGGAGGTGTCCAAGAAAGTCTTTGAATCATTGGGATAAGAATATAATTGACAACATTAGGTATGGTGCTGTCTTGGTTGGTTGTTCTGGACCTGCAATTTCATCATCCCTGTAGCGAACTCCCGCCAGCAGTGGAGTTCAGGGAACTCAGGTCTGCCTGGGTTCAAATGACTCCAAGACAAGCTCTCCACCCTCCCCTCTCCCCCATCATTCTGCATTACTGTGGAAACAAGCAGCCCGAGTGTCCTTTTTCTATACTTGTTCCAAAGAAAGCTTTTAGGCTACAGTGTATTTTTCTGGCATTTATTGTTCCAAGGCACCAAATGATGGAGCAGTCTAATGAGCAAGAAGATATGCTTCATTAAGAGGAAAGTGAATAATAATAATAACAACCAGCATTTATGTAGTGCTTTAATGTTGCAAAATACAAATGTTATCCAATTTTTTTCCCCTCAACAACCCCAAGAGGTAGATTCTATTATTATCCCCATTTTGTGGATCAGGAAACTGAGACAGAGGTTAAGTGACCAATGAGAGTATGCCCTCCCTTCCCAAACTCTATTGTGTTCATTTTGTCTATATTTTGTATATACTTACATGGGTATGTGTTGCTTCCACTCATCATATACACTCTTCTTGAGGGCAAGGACTGTTTTGATTTTGTCGTCGTTGTATCCCCAGCACCTAGTATAGTGCTTGGCTTCATTTATGTTGGCTTATTGATTGGAAGCTGAAAGTTCCAGAGGTCAATTGTGTAGTTAAATTTAAATAAAACACTAAGAGTTAATCTTATTCTGCATACAGTGTTTGGAGGGAGAATGTTCCCAACTGTTGCATGAATATTTGCTTTTTGTCTGATTAGAACTGTATGTTAGAGCTAGTATTTTATCAGAGAAGCCACTCTCCCTGCTATTTGGACGCTGTTCTGGTGGAACATTAGACATGCTTAGTGTTGAGGAGGCATTTTGGTGTAGTAGGGAAAATGTTGACTGGGAAATCAGAGGACTGGGGAAATCTCCCCCTCCCCCCTTTACTCATCCCACTTGTGTGACCTTGGGCAAGTAACCTAACCTCCTGGATGTGAGTTTCCTTGCCTATGGTTTCTGCATCACATACAAATTGTTCTAAAATGTGAAGGAGTTGGATTAAAAGGGCCCTCCCTCACAGCTAGAAATATGCCATCTATGTGCCTTAAACTTTTAAAGGACTGCTCCTTGCCCCGTAGAAGCTATTCTCTCTTAAAAGGTGCCCAGGAGGAGGAGCACCAACTGCTTCCTGAGATCTCATTGACAAAGCATTGGGTCCAGACATATTTCACAGATGAAAAAACAGCCCCCCCACCTATTGCTGTATGTTCTATGGGGGACAATGACAGGGCCTATGCTTTTCATTGATCTAGGGAGAAAGCCTCAGTGAGAATATTCTCTCTCCCAGTGCAGGTCAGCACCTTCTTTGCAGTGAACAATCTTATAAAGAGAATACCCTGGAGAGACTGAGGTGGTTAATGATATGCCCCGGGTCACACAGTCAGGATATGCTGGGGCAGGTCTTGAATACAGGTCTTCTTAGCTGAATCACCCCACTGCCTCACTCTCTACGTATGTATGCACATACATATATGTGAATATTATAGACATAAATATATATGAGAGGGAGTGCAATGCAGTGTATAAAGAGTTAGCATTAGAGCTTAAATGCCCCTCTGACAAATACCAGCTGTGTGACCTTGGGCAAGCCAGCATTCCTGGGCACCGAAGACCATCAGGTGCAGAAAAGGTGCTGACCTGCATTGATGGAGGCTTGGGAGTTTCCTATAGTAGTGACAATTCTAGATCTAGTCTCTGCCATTGTGATTCTCTCTCTCTCTCTCTCTCTCTCTCTCTCTCTCTCTCTCTCTCTCTCTCTCTCTCTCTCTCTCTCTCTCTCTGTATGTGTGTGTGTATGAATACACATAGAGATAGGGATTAGATCCATGATTTTCTTGGTAAGGAAACTTCCTCTATCTAGAGAGGTCATTACCTTCTTTGAAATTTAACAGTGTTAGAGAGAATTGCCTGGGATTCTGAAAGACTAAATAATTTGCCAGGGTCATGTAACTAGTATGTACCAGAGGCAGAATTTAAACTTCACCTCACCCCCCCCAACCCCTTCTCACATAACAGCTCTCTGGATCTTATTAGTTTGAAAGAGGAGTTGTTTCAGTGCCCCTCTTCCCACCCCACGAGCGAGGATGAGGGCAAGTTCCCAGGCATGTCCATATGTACGGATGTTTGTATCTCATGCCCCCCCCCCACATGTACATAGTAGAGTCTATAACTACACAGATATTTACATGAATGCAATCAACATTCTCTGCTACTGGCTGGATCGGGCTATTGGTTTGTCAGCAGCTGGTTCTTGGGGGAAAATAGTTATTTGTGAATCTGTTTTAAGTGAGAAAAAAACCTATTTGGAGTGCCTTTGCAGATCCCTTCCTCTTCTCCTTCTTCCCCTTTCCTGATCCTCCCTCCCTTCCCAGTGAAGCTCTATTACTCTATTCACACACATTTTCTTCCTATCTAAACGTCTTATGTGTACTGGTGACAGAAGCTGGCAGACATGAAGGTCAGCAGGGCTCTGGAAATGTGACATCTCTTGCTGATGTTACCGCTCTGTTGCTGGCTGGGGAAGGGAAATGCTTACCAACAGCTATCTAAACTCAAGCATGTTTAAGCTTCTGCTGGAATTTTAAGTCTATCTGGGGACTGGCAAAAAGAAGGGTTTCCCTCATTGAGTTTTCTTTTGCCTTCATTCCTCCTTCAGTCTATTATTCATTACCAGCTTCTATGGAATGTGAAGATATCTTGATCAACTCAATCCATTTTACAGAAGTTACTCATGAATCCTTAGACCCCACCCTATTTTGCCGCTCCATTGGGAGAGAGGAACTCTAAATGATCATATGTATGTTGTTGAGCTGAGTGAGTCCTACTGAAATTCAAAGAGTTATGTACTATTTGGGAGGGATTTCTTTGGTTTGGGGGAACTTCTGGTGTGGAAATTTCATCTACCACTGCAGATTGACAACTCATGTTCATTACAGTTTTAGATAGTATAAATCTAAATCCTCCATCACAGTTGCCTGGGGCATGAGAATATAAGTGACTTGACCATAGTTTCATGGCCAGTTCCATATCAAAGGCAGGACCAATTCTTCCCAGTTCCAAGGCCAACCCTCCATACTCTAACTTGTGTCCATCTCTCCAGTATATACAACATCTTTTAAAATCTACATTGGCTTTCAAAGTTCCTCAATCCATCGGTAATAATATTTTTTTTAAAAGATAGAAAATAACATTTTGTCTTCACATGGGGCAGACTTTGCCTGGGATTTATGAAAATATATTACATTTTGGCAGAGCACTTCCTGGAGTGTCTTGGCCAGAGAAAATGGGTTGTTTGCCCAAATATTGAGGAGCATGGCTAGTAAGCTAATAGGGCTCAGACTCCAGGACAAAAAAAAAATAATCTCACCAGTTTCTAGAATCCTAAGAAATCTCTCCTTTCAAATTTTTTTTTGGGGCACTGAAAAAACCTCTTCTTTCAAACTGACAAGGTGCAGAGGACTATCATTTAAAAGCTGCTCTGCTTCTGGATTTGCACACATCGTGAAATCCCTTTCTTCCTGCTGTCAGAGACTAAAACAACTTTTTGTTACCAAAGAACATTTTAATCGAAAGCTTTTGTGGACACTCCCCTTTCAAGCCCTTTAAAGTGTTTCCAGGGGTTGGCTTCCCAGCAGAATCCTTGCTGTTCTGAACCTTTCTGCACTGCATGCTTGTGAGGCATTATAAGTTTCAGCATGCACACCTTGTCTTTCCCTGTCTTCTGTTATGTCTGTTGCCCCTGTGACAAGCTGTGGCCTGGACTCCTTGGCCACCCTCTCAGCTTTCTCTAATTGTATTATAAGAGATTTTTAAGGCCTGGCCTTAGGAAGCCAGACACAGTCGTAAGGAGCTATGTTGGAATGGGATTTTTTTCTTTAATTCAATTCGATCCAACAGTGTTTATGGAGGACCTACTAAGTGCCAGG